GGCTATATCTGATATCTAACTTTTGAAGGTTTGGTAATATATGCAGGATTTCACTTAGCAAATCTCTAACGTCACCTTTTCCACCATAGTATTGATAATCTTTTATGCTAAGTTCCTGGATATTAGGACAAGCTTGTAGCATTTTTACAATACAAATGGGCCATAATTTTACCTCATCCATATTAAGCTTTCTGATATATTTTCCGCATACTGTTCCTGGTTTTGTAAGATGTTTATACATTTGGAACTCCTTCACATTATAGCGGTTATAAAGGTCTACTTCACCCCATAGGAAAGAGTTTGCTACTACAGCCCATTTTTGACACACTAATGCATATTTTTGAAGATAATACCAACGGTAGTAAGTGCCTTCATATGTAGTTTTGAATATCTTTTCTAAAAGTTCAGGAGGTAAGCTATTATTTGTCATGGTATCTCGTATAAGATATTGATGAAGAAGTTTTATTTAATTAGATTTTTTCTTAGGATAAAATAATTTGAACATTTCTTTTCTTTCAATAGAAAAAACTAGATATGATTACTTTTAGTGAACTTACTCCGTCTCTTACTATTACTGAATTTAAAATCAATATTGAAGGACTTGATTACGCCATACTTGGTAATAAGCTTAAACCTACTAAGGATGTTATTGCTATTAATAGTAACTTTATTTATAAAGCTTTTGAGGGTTATGAGCAGTACTTGTCTAAACTAAAAGGTGAGAGGCGATGCAGACGAAGTACACCTGACAATCCATTAAATAGATGGCGACGTACAGGAGATAGTAGCACTTTTAATGCATGCATTGAGTTTGTTATCATCTTAGCTGATACTGTACATACTATTCGTTATTTTCCTAAATCTGATAGTATACAAGTTTTTGGATCTTTTAATCCTGTTACTATCTTCTTACGTTACCTTTCTGAATGTTCCCTACCTGAGTTTTCTTCTGTAGAACTTGTGGGTGAAAATAAGGCTCTCCTGCGCAATTATAAATTTGTAATTAATATTAGAGGTAATAAGTTTATTAATCTTTCTACCTTAGCATATGCTTTAGAGTCTATAGATGGTATTCGTGAGATTCTTCCCTTTCAAATAAAATATATTAAGAATGATGCGGGTGATATTCATTCTAAAATTGCTATAATCTTTACTTCAAAGATTCAGGTAAATATCTGGCCTAAATCTGGTAAGGTTAATATATTTGGCACTAAGACTGAATTGGATGCTGATATGGTTTATAAGTTCTTACAGAAGTTGTTTTCTAATCCATATGATTTTGGAGATTTTATTTGTGATGCACCTATTCCAGATTGCGAGAGGTAAAAAATGGTTTCACTGAAAACTAGAAACCCTCTATTTGTAAAATCCAGCAATCGCATTCCTAACTTCTTGTTGGCATAAGACATTCGTCACATAGAGTTATAGCCAACTTATTTTTTAGCTTATCCAGTTGACTCTCGGTGGTTGGTGCAAGATTCTGGTAGTATTCATTAAATTCATTCTGCTCTTCTTCATCTATGTCTTCATCTATGTCTTCATCTGTGTCTTCATCCATATCTTCATCTTCTTTAATATGGTAGATGCTGAATTCATTTCTATATTCATCATTAGGATTTGTGAATATTCTTTGTATATTGTAATTTATAATGTTGAATGTTGTAGGTTTCTTTTTTGATAATATTTCTACTAAGTCTAATAATGCATATGCTAATTTTTTATCCTCTGAGAAGTTCTTAATGATATCTGAAAATCTTTCATATATTGCCATTTCATCTGGTAGAATAGAATATCTTACTCGTGATAAAAGTGATGGATGTATCCATATATCATCACCTTCTAACATCTCATCAAATATTTCTACTAGCTCTCCTATTCCAGATACTAACATACTTTCTTTGCTAAATTCGGAATCTAAAGCTTTTAAATATGCTATATCTAAATACCACATTATTTCCTTTACCCATTCTTCTATGTTGAGTTCAAACTGACCTAGTACACGTCTTAGTGATGGTCTGTATTGTGACATCTTGTAAACCTTTTATATATGAATCTTTTATTCAATTACATTTTTTCTCGGTATAAGGGTAATTGCTTGCCTTGCTATTCTGCTCTATTGACTCCATGGCTGGTTTCCTGGATGGGTTAATATTTCCTTACCTTTTTTTGACTCCGTTGGCTTTGAAATCCTATTTTTTGTTCAGTTGGGAGTAAGTAGGTGAAAATATAAGTAGGATGAATAAAAAGTAGATAAAATAGGTGATGTAAGGAAATAACTTTACTAAAAATGGCCAATTTTTTGAAATATTTTTATAGACCTAGATACAATGGCTTTCAAAACAATTGTGCAATTATTTTGTAAAATTTTTAAAATATATCAAGATATATTTAAGATATTTTTGAAATTAAAATATTAAAATAATATAAAAGTTAATTATATTATAATAATAAAATAATAACAAAAACATTAAAAAATTATTGTGATATTATTTTGAGTTATTTTTATAGACCTAGATACAATATAATTACAAAATAATAGCAAAAATATAATAAAAACATTTTGATGTATTAAATGTATTTTTGTAGTATTTTAAAATTATTACAAAATCATTTCAAAAAATTGGCCATTTTTAGTAAAGAAGTAGGTGAAATAGGTGGTATAAATAGGTAAAAATGGTGATATAAGTAGGTGAAAATATAAATAGGTAACCAGGATTGGGTCCACAGCCGGTGGAAGAGCAACGGGAGTAGCAAGAAAAAGGTAACCAGGATTGGACCCACAGCTGGTGGGGGGAGCAATGGGGGTAGCAAGAAAAAGGTAACTAGGATTGGACTCTGAGGAAAGTGAGCCAGAACTGGGATTTATATACTACTAACCTTTCACAGTTTTACCAGTTTCGTCAGTTTTGCAGTTTTGCAAATTTTTAATTTTTTAATAAAATGTTTCAACTAGTTTCGATTTCAACAATTGTCTAAACTACTTAATTTCGCCCAGCAACTTTAAATGAAACATTAGAACAAAATAAAGGTAGGCATTTTTTGCTTATAAAATTGTGACTACATTTTACTCAAAACTTACCTTTTTGAACAAAGACACATCAAATACCGAAACTGCCAGCACTGATTTGGGTTCAAAACAAGTTTCAGCTTGTACTTTAGATTTTATATTGCCGAGTGAATGGGCTTTGAAAGAAAGGCAGAAATTTGGTAAAAAAGGAGGAGAGAAACGAATAAGCAAATATGTGATTCCATATTTTGAAGCGTATTTTTTGGCTGGAGATGTTAATAAAAGTGAAAAATATACAGCTCAAGAAATGTATAATGAACTAAAAGAATTAGTAGAAGAAGGAATTTTAGAAGCGGAGGAAATTCCAAAAGTTTCTACAATTGGTAATTAGATAACCCAGTATGCACAAGCCCATCGTAAAGTACAAGCTCAACAAGCTTTAGCACAGGTTAATGATGTATTAAAAGCCCTAAAAATTTGATAAATAAACGTAAAAATGCATTATTTTCGCAAAATAAAAGTTCAAAATGTTGAAATTACAAATTTGCTTGTCATATTTATAGGCGGGAATCTGGTGTTATATCAAATAAAAGTCTAAAGTTTTATTTACAATATAGCGTGAAAAATACAAAAAAATATGCATATGGTATTCTATTATTAGCATATTTAATATGATGCCTGTATTGTACAAAGTGATGGCTCTAGCTCAATTAAAACCCACTAATTGGGACTAATTTACTATATAAGCATATGATCGGTGCCCCGATTTCGAATAGTAATTTTCTCTACTTTGTTTAAAGTTCCAAACGGGTCGGTTTGGTCCAGATTATAGATGGTTCGGATTAGAGCTGAAATCTGTAAGAACCAAACCGAAAAACTGGCAGTTCAGTTCGGTTTAATCCGATTTTTAAAAAATGTGAAAAATCGAATAGTCGGCCATCTAGTGATCGTACAAAGTCTAGTGATTATATAAAGTCGAGCCATATAACATTGGATTTGTTTCAACGAGACGCGTCGAATGGTGGTAAGATCATGTCTCTAGCATCGATAGATCACACGTTAACCCACGCTAAATGATTTATAAATAATTGGAATTAGCAAGCTATCTATCAGTGCTAGAGACATGATCTTAGCACCATTCAAAGCGTCTCAGTGAGACGAATCCAATGAATATGAATTCGTTCGTGTACGACCACTGGATGGCGAATAATATCAAGTTTCGCATTTTTTTAAAATTTTCGAGCGTTAAAAATTAAAAATTCCGATACATGAATTTATTCGTCGTTCAATGGTCGT